AAGTCTTACAAGCTTCAAAAAAAAAGCTCGCTGTAAAAAATTTACCACAGTCTAATTTAAAGACGCACTGGTTTCTTTTGTTATCTCAGGGTTACACGAAAAATAGGCTGAAAAAGCCATGGATGGGGAAGCACACATATCAATTCACCACTCAAATCCATCACGGGTAAAGCAAATTTTAAAAGGTGTGTTACTCAGACTGGTAAGTTTTTCCCTAAAAGGGCTCGGTCCGTCATTGGTCTTTTAAATCTACTTAGAAAAACGTGGCCTTTTGCTGCTGTGGAAGAATCCAATTTTATGAAGTTTATAGTAAAATTAGCACAGTATCAAACATCCCATTATGAAAATTCCCAATTTCTCAGTTTAAAAAATACGAGAATTGCAAAACGGCCCAGGTAATCAGTCTGGATATTCCATCTTAGCGATACTGCTAGGATACACTCGTATGCCGAGCGCAGCTGTGGTGTTTGATCGTTTAAAGAAATTATAAAACACTTTATCTTTGAACTGTTGAAGCAAATGTTTATTCGCCAAAATTGTTAAAATTTTAGGTTTCAAAAAAGAAAGCTCGATTTCACTAAGAAGCAACCGCACATAAGTACTGCCATTTCAAGCCGCCAGTGGTGACGGAGAACGAATGTTTACAAGCCACTTGGCTCGTTTGAAAGCCGAAGGTACTTTGAGCACAGATTTGCCGAAAATCGTAGTACTATAGGCCTGGACTTACTCTCAGGATGCACACCATTCCACTGCTACTTTTTATGCTGTTTAGATTGAAATAGGTGGCATATTTACGGACAAGCACTGTTCACTCACAAAATAATGGAAACGTCTGTCTACATTTTTAAAATAAAGATTTGCACTTCCACGAAATTTGCATTTCCAGGTCAAAGAAACCTACGGTTCCTTGCGATTCGCCAGTGCCTCCTTGGTCAAACGGCAAGCAGACGAAGAACTTCTCTTTGGACAAAAAGCCGTTTGCCATTCGATCCTCACTAAACGGCCAGTCCCAGACAAATGCTTCAAAGAATGTGTCACAATTGAAATCTGAATCTTCCGTTATCCTAAAATAGAAGCTATTCGATTTTCATGCATTTTTGCCTATATGAAAATTGCAAAAACCATATTGCAACGACTCTGTCTGTGTGTGTATGCTTGTGTGTGTGTGTATGTATGTATGTGTGCTCGTCTGTCCGGGTATTTCAACTCAGCAACCAAGCAAGCTCCAACGCCAAACT